TGGAAGGAGATTCTCCTTCCAAACAATAGTGTACACCTTCCTCCTATCCCCTCCTCCCGTCTTCCATCCACCCAGAAGTCTTCAGTAAAGATAAGTGTAATGTTATTATTTTTTATATGCATGTACTTCATTTCTCATTGTTTTCAGTATTTTTTTTTTTATTATTAACACACTGGCCGATTCCCACCAAGGCAGGGTGGCCCGAAAAAGAAAAACTTTCACCATCATTCACTCCATCACTGTCTTGCCAGAAGGGTGCTTTACACTACAGTTTTTAAACTGCAACATTAACACCCCTCCTTCAGAGTGCAGGCACTGCACTTCCCATCTCCAGGACTCAAGTCCGGCCTGCCGGTTTCCCTGAACCCCTTCATAAATGTTACTTTGCTCACACTCCAACAGCACGTCAAGTATTAAAAACCATTTGTCTCCATTCACTCCTATCAAACATGTTCACGCATGCCTGCTGGAAGTCCAAGCCCCTCGCACACAAAACCTCCTTTACCCCCTCTCTCCAACCATTCCTAGGCCGACCCCTACCCCGCCTTCCTTCCACTACAGACTGATACACTCTTGAAGTCATTCTGTTTCGCTCCATTCTCTCTACATGTCCGAACCACCTCAACAACCTTTCCTCAGCCCTCTGGACAACAGTTTTGGTAATCCCGCACCTCCTCCTAACTTCCAAACTACGAATTCTCTGCATTATATTCACACCACACATTGCCCTCAGACATGACATCACTGCCTCCAGCCTTCTCCTCACTGCAACATTCATCACCCATGCTTCACACCCATATAAGAGCGTTGGTAAAACTATACTCTCATACATTCCCCTCTTTGCCTCCAAGGACAAAGTTCTTTGTCTCCACAGACTCCTAAGTACACCACTCACTCTTTTCCCCTCATCAATTCTATGATTCACCTCATCTTTCATAGACCCATCCGCTGACACGTCCACTCCCAAATATCTGAATACATTCACCTCCTCCATACTCTCTCCCTCCAATCTGATATTCAATCTTTCATCACCTAATCTTTTTGTTATCCTCATAACCTTACTTTTTCCTGTATTCACCTTTAATTTTCTTCTTTTGCACACCCTACCAAATTCATCCACCAATCACTGCAACTTCTCTTCAGAATCTCCCAAGAGCACAGTGTCATCAGCAAAGAGCAGCTGTGACAACTCCCACTTTGTGTGTGATTCTTTATCTTTTAACTCCACGCCTCTTGCCAAGACCCTCGCATTTACTTCTCTTACAACCCCATCTATAAATATATTGAACAACCACGGCGACATCACACATCCTTGTCTAAGGCCTACTTTTACTGGGAAATAATTTCCCCTCTTTCCTACATACTCTAACTTGAGCCTCACTATCCTCGTAAAAACTCTTCACTGCTTTCAGTAACCTACCTCCTACACCATACACTTGCAACATCTGCCACATTGCCCCTCTATCCACCCTGTCATACACCTTTTCCAAATCCATAAATGCCACAAAGACCTCTTTAGCCTTATCTAAATACTGTTCACTTATATGTTTCACTGTAAACACCTGGTCCACACACCCCTACCTTTCCTAAAGCCTCCTTGTTCATCTGCTATCCTATTCTCCGTCTTACTCTTAATTCTTTCAATAATAACTCTACCATACACTTTACCAGGTATACTCAGCAGACTTATCCCCCTATAATTTTTGCACTCTCTTTTATCCCCTTTGCCTTTATACAAAGGAACTATGCATGCTCTCTGCCAATCCCTAGGTACCTTACCCTCTTCCATACATTTATTAAATAATTGCACCAACCACTCCAAAACTATATCCCCACCTGCTTTTAACATTTCTATCTTTATCCATCAATCCCGGCTGCCTTACCCCCTTTCATTTTACCTACTGCCTCACGAACTTCCCCCACACTCACAACTGGCTCTTCCTCACTCCTACAAGATGTTATTCCTCCTTGTCCTATACATGAAATCACAGCTTCCCTATCTTCATCAACATTTAACAATTCCTCAAAATATTCCCTCCATCTTCCCAATACCTCTAACTCTCCATTTAATAACTCTCCTGTCCTATTTTTAACTGACAAATCCATTTGTTCTCTAGGCTTTCCCTAAATACCTTCATAAATATTACTTTGCTCACACTCCAACAGCATGTCAAGTCAAAAACTATTTGCCTCCACTCGCTCCCATCTAACATGCTCATGCATGCTTGCTGAAGTCTAAGCCCCTTGCACACCAAACCACCTTTACACCCTCCCTCCAACTTTTCCTAGAATGACCCCTACCCTGCCTTCCTTCCACTACAGATTTATTTATTTTTTATTTATTTTATTATCACACCGGCCGATTCCCACCAAGGCAGGGTGGCCCGAAAAAGAAAAACTTTCACCATCATTCACTCCATCACTGTCTTGCCAGAAGGGTGCTTTACACTACAGTTTTTAAACTGCAACATTAACACCCCCTCCTTCAGAGTGCAGGCACTGTACTTCCCATCTCCAGGACTCAAGTCCGGCCTGCCGGTTTCCCTGAATCCCTTCATAAATGTTACTTTGCTCACACTCCAACAGCACGTCAAGTATTAAAAACCATTTGTCTCCATTCACTCCTATCAAACACGCTCACGCATGCCTGCTGGAAGTCCAAGCCCCTCGCACACAAAACCTCCTTTACCCCCTCCCTCCAACCCTTCCTAGGCCGACCCCTACCCGCCTTCCTTCCACTACAGACTGATACACTCTTGAAGTCATTCTGTTTCGCTCCATTCTCTCTACATGTCTGAACCACCTCAACAACCCTTCCTCAGCCCTCTGGACAACAGTTTTTGGTATCCCGCACCTCCTCCTAACTTCCAAACTACGAATTCTCTGCATTATATTCACACCACACATTGCCCTCAGACATGACATCTCCACTGCCTCCAGCCTTCTCCTCGCTGCAACATTCATCACCCACGCTTCACACCCATATAAGAGCGTTGGTAAAACTATACTCTCATACATTCCCCTCTTTGCCTCCAAGGACAAAGTTCTTCGTCTCCACAGACTCCTAAGTGCACCACTCACTCTTTTTCCCTCATCAATTCTATGATTCACCTCATCTTTCATAGACCCATCCGCTGACACGTCCACTCCCAAATATCTGAATACGTTCACCTCCTCCATACTCTCTCCCTCCAATCTGATATTCTATCTTTCATCACCTAATCTTTTTGTTATCCTCATAACCTTACTCTTTCCTGTATTCACCTTTAATTTTCTTCTTTTGCACACCCTACCAAATTCATCCACCAATCTCTGCAACTTCTCTTCAGAATCTCCCAAGAGCACAGTGTCATCAGCAAAGAGCAGCTGTGACAACTCCCACTTTGTGTGTGATTCTTTATCTTTTAACTCCACGCCTCTTGCCAAGACCCTCGCATTTACTTCTCTTACAACCCCATCTATAAATATATTAAACAACCACGGTGACATCACACATCCTTGTCTAAGGCCTACTTTTACTGGGAAAAAATTTCCCTCTTTCCTACATACTCTAACTTAAGCCTCACTATCCTCGTAAAAACTCTTCACTGCTTTCAGTAACCTACCTCCTACACCATACACTTGCAACATCTGCCACATTGCCCCCCTATCCACCCTGTCATACGCCTTTTCCAAATCCATAAATGCCACAAAGACCTCTTAGCCTTATCTAAATACTGTTCACTTATATGTTTCACTGTGAACACCTGGTCCACACACCCCCTACCTTTCCTAAAGCCTCCTTGTTCATCTGCTATCCTATTCTCCGTCTTACTCTTAATTCTTTCAATTATAACTCTACCATACACTTTACCAGGTACACTCAACAGACTTATCCCCCTATAATTTTTGCACTCTCTTTTATCCCCTTTGCCTTTATACAAAGGAACTATGCATGCTCTCTGCCAATCCCTAGGTACCTTACCCTCTTCCATACATTTATTAAATAATTGCACCAACCACTCCAAAACTATATCCCCACCTGCTTTTAACATTTCTATCTTTATCCCATCAATCCCGGCTGCCTTACCCCCTTTCATTTTACCTACTGCCTCACGAACTTCCCCCACACTCACAACTGGCTCTTCCTCACTCCTACAAGATGTTATTCCTCCTTGCCCTATACACGAAATCACAGCTTCCCTATCTTCATCAACATTTAACAATTCCTCAAAATATTCCTTCCATCTTCCCATCTACAGATTTATACACCCTCCATTCATTCTCTCTTAATATCCAAACGACCTCAACAACCTCTCCTCAGTCCTCTGGGTAATACTTTTAGAAACCCAGTACCTCCTAATCTCCAAGCTAAGGATGGAAATTAGGAGATGCGGGGTTTCTAAAAGTATTATCCAGAGGGTTGAGGAGGGGTTGTGGAGGTGGTTTGGACATTTAGAGAGGCTGGAATAAAATAAAATGACTTGGAGGGCATATATATCTGTGGTGGAAGGAAGGCGAGGTAGGGGTCATCCCAGGAAAAGTTGGAGGGAAGGGATAAAGGAGGTTTTGAGTGCGAGGGGCTTAGACTTCCAGCAAACGTGTGTGAGCGTGTTAGATAGGAGTGGAGGCAAATGGTTTTTATGACTTGGCGTGATGTTGGAGTTATTGTAAAAAAGCACATCATAAAAACCATTTGCCTCTACTTGTTCCTATAAATAAATGTGAGAACATAAATATGCATTTTTGCCAATACTGCCAATGTATGATCATTTTTTGCCAATGTTAACATGCCACAAACTAAGTTTTTATCTGATTTCATGTTTGTTTCATATATGTATTTAGGAAACACTCAAGATTTTTTTTTTTTTCAAAATGTGTCACATAAGTGGAAAATAAAATGTTGGGACCTGCCAGCTAAAGAATTAAGTAGGCTTTTTGTGACCTTACATACCACAGTAATATATGACCTTACACTCCATAGTAATGTGTGACCTTACATTACACTGCATTACATTCACCTTAGCAGGACTTCGTCGTGAATGCGGGGATTTCACACAGTGATTCGAAAATGTAGAATCTAGGGATGTGTTGAGCCGTTCACCACAGTTTGTAAGGGTTACCTCACTGGGAAGAGGTTCTTCGCTTGTTCCACGTCGACTAGGCACAATTCCTCCTTCCAAAGCCAACCTGTCCATACTTCCTCTACGATGATTTATTTTGAGTTGTGTATCTGAACTAACTTTTGAAGCACTGTTATTTACAATATCTGCTTGAGAAACTTCTCTGGTAACATCGCTTTTTGCACCATCCTCTTTCCTTAAACTGGCTTCTCCCCGCCTGCAATTTGGTTCCTCTTCTGATGGTTTAGATGTGCATCTCTCATTTTTGGCACTGCTTGGTGTATCCTCAAAGTTAATGTGTCTTACTGGGATGTTTTTAACTGGACTGCTGGATCGTCCACTCTTGACACTGCCAAGCTGATTGGCAGAATTGACATTTGCAGAGTTCACCCCATAATGGCGTGTTGGTGATGGATGGCGAGTGGGTGATGGCCTTCGTGTTGGTGAGGGGTGACGTACTGGTGACGAATGTGGGGAGGCAGTGACCTGATGAGTGTTAGGCACTTTGTTTGTCGAATGTGGCACTTGTGTTCCTGTTGGAAGCTGTTTGATAGGTGACATCTGTGTCGTCAGTGCTGGTTGTGGCTGAGATACATTCACAATTTTCCTTGGTGATCCATGAGTTGGGGCAATTTTACTTGGTGAGGAAGATGGTGGGGGTGGATGACGGTATGGTGGGAGCTCTCTTGGACCTGCAATGTGTGGTGGCTTTGGAGGGGGTGGGCCATTATACATGGGAGAAGTCTGACTAGGAGGTGGACCACGGGATGCATACTGGGGACCAGTAGGAAGACCAATATTACCCTGATGTGTGTAGCCTGGGTATGGGGCTCGTCTACCATCGCTGTAAACAAGGTCTGTCCTCACTGAAGATTGAGAGTCAACTCGCTGATCTCTTCTAGAAGTTGTTGAATATGGCGGCTCATTAGTTGGGGTTGTTTTGCTAGGTGAGTGATGGATGGAAGCCGAGTTTGATTGATGAGATGATGATGGAGGTGAATGAGGACCAGGCCGAGGTGTGCTCCAGTGACTAGTGGTGGCCCGAACATTATCTACCCCAACCCTAGAAGGAGGAGGTGGAGGGGGATTGCCCCGAACCACCTCATAAGGCGGAGGTGCAGGAGGTCTCCAAGCAACTCCTCCAGGCTGTTGATCTGTCCTGCTTCCTTCGCCTGTCCAGCCTTGCCCTTCCCAGTGTGACACAGGTGGTGTGGGATAAACAAGGTCTGTATGACGAGGACCTGTTTGCGATGGTACAGCCTGCAATAAAGGTGGTCCTGCAGCAGACTGGGATGGGGAACCCACTTCTTGTCTCCGAAGTTCTGCATGACCACCACTAAATGTCAAGGATTTCTTTAGATCTTTGTGTACGTGAGGGGATTGTCTAGGTCGGTCTTGCACAGCTTGTGGACCCTGAGGGACAGATGGCCTGCTTGAGGTATCCACTCTCTGGGAAATACCAGGTCGAAGGCCAGCTGGACCATTGGGTGTCTTAGGATCAAGGGCTGATCGTTGAAGGATGAACTGCACATCATTAGAGTATTCTCCCCATTTCATTAGAATCTGAGAGAAAAATAATATATTACTACATGGTATAATATTCTCAATTTATTATTTAAAAACAAAAATAAAGGCTCTGCAGGGGAAGATTACTGAAGAACACATTATTATTTCACAAAGCACTTGTATTTCCTTTCAACTAATCTGAAAAACATCTACTCATATTTCTAACTAGACTAGATCAAAATTACATTTCAAAATTATCATATAGTACTTGCTTTCATGGTCCAGTCATTTTGCTAGATCAATACAGTGGAACCCTGGATTTCGGCAGTAATCCGTTCCAGAAGGTCAGCCTAAATCCGAAAACTGAAGTAATATTTCCCATAAGAATTATTGTAAAAATATAATTAATCCGTTCCAGACACCCAAAAATATTAACAAAAAATAAATATTTTATAGATTAGCTGTAGTTTTTACATACATAAAACAATGAAAAATAAATATAAAGCATAAATTTTAATAACTGAACATTACATACCTTTATTGAAGACTCTTGTTGGCATATTGAAGAAGGCAAGGATAGGAGAGAGAGGAGAGCTTATTGTTTGGAAGGAAAATCCCCCTCCATAAGGACTGCAGATATCAAGTTCTTCTCTGGGGTTACTTCCCTTCTTTGTTTTTTACTGGCACTAGGACCACCTTGAGTCACTGCACTAGTCGCACAAAAAAAAAAAACTGTTCAGAGAGGTTTATTTCTGGCATCTCTCTAAGATTTGCCTGAAGTGGGACAAGGTTTTGTCACTGAACATGTTGCGGATATGGCTTGTTTGAGCTTGGTCAGGGTGATATTTCTCCACAAAACTTCTCACCTGCCTCCATTTTGCACAAATGTCCTTAATCACTGAAGAAGGCACATTCTCCCCTCTCTCTTCCTCCTCCTCCTCTGAAGCAATTTCCTCAGCTGTGGTCTGTTGCTGTTGTAGATGAACGTCTTGCAGATCTTCAGTGGTTAGCTCTTCTCTGTGGTCCTCCACCAACTCTTCCACATCCTTGCCACTCGCATCCAACCCCATGGACTTCCCCAAAGCCACAAAAGATTCCACAACAGGCAGAGGGTCAACAGGGTCAGGGTCAGCCTCAAACCCTTCAAAATCCTTCTCTTGGACACATTCTGGCCACAACTTTCTCCAAGTCACTTCCTGCCAAGCCTTTACCTACAAGGCTTATGCAATGGGGGATATTGAAGTGATTCCTCCAGAGCTCTCTTAGGGTCAAGTCAGTGTCTGAGGTCATTTCAAAGCACCTTCGAAACATTGCATTGGTGTAGAGTTTTTTTAAGTTAGAAATGACCTGCTGGTCCATGGGTTGGATGAGAGGAGTAGTGTTAGGAGGCAAGAACTTCACTGTTATAAAACTTAACTCCATAGACAATTAGTCTACCAAGTTTGGAGGATGAGCAGGAGCAATGTCCAGTACCAGGAGGCACTTGAGTGGCAATTTATTTTCCTGGAGGTATTTTTTCACACTCAGGCCAGACACTTCATGGACCCAATCAATGAAAATTTGCCTTGTGACCCATGCCTTATTATTAACTTTCCACAACACACACAATTTACTCTTGAGGACATTGTTTTTCTTGAACACTCTGGGATTATCAGAGTGATACACCAATAAAGACTTCACTTTGAAATCCCCACTAGCATTACCACAGAACAAAAGAGCAAGCCTATCCTTCATAGGCTTGTGTCCTGGCAGTGCCTTTTCTTCCTGTGTGATGTAGGTCCTCTTTGGCATTTTCTTCCAAAAGAGGCCCGTTTTGTCACAAATGAATACTTGTTGGAGGACGAATCCTTCAGCCTCTACGCAATCCTTGAATTCAAGCACGAATTCTTCAGCCGCACGTTTGTCTGAACTTGCAGCCTCACCATGCCTTACAACACTGTATGCCACTACACTTCTTGAATCTGTAGAAGCGGCCTCTGCTGGCCTTACATTCATTAACAGCAGCACTCATTCCAGGAATTTTCTTTACGAGATCTGCATGCAACTGCTTTGCCTTTTCACAAATGATCGACTCCACAACACTATCTCCCATTAATTATTTATCATTGATCCACACCAACAATAACTTCTCCACATCTTCGATTATTGGTGATCTTTGTTTCGTTAGCATATTTACCCCTTTCACACATTAGCTTCCTTGATTTCTACTTTCTTTCCCAAGATGGAAGTGATTGTTGATTTGGATTTCCCATACATCCTAGCAAGCTCCAAGACACGTACACCACTCTCGTACTTTGCTACAATTTCTTTCTTGAATTCTATCGTGCTTCTCACTTTCTTTACCGAAGGTCTGGCACTAGGAACTTTCTTTGGGCCTGTGGTGGCTTATTTTGCAGTTGCACTTAATAAATAAGAACAAAAAACAATGGATTATAACAAAATGTTTGGATGAATGCACGGAATGTTGCTCACTCACCCAGAGAGACAGTCAGACTGACTCATGAACGCAAGGGAATGGCAGGCAGAAGCGTCCAATACAACCGATTTCCGAGTTGTCGGCCGAAATCTGGAACAGAATTTCGGCCAAAAAAGCAGCCAAAATCTGGGGTTCCACTATATCTTATTAGAAGCGAATATACAGTGGACCCCCGGATTAAGATGTCGTCGGATTTTGTAATAATCAGATTAAGTAACATTTTTGCATCAAAATATTGGCTCGGTTAACAACACCGAACTCGGTAAAAGTCATTCGTCCCGAATGGGTCCACAAGCCATAAGCAGCCCAGACACTCCATGTACAGCCAGTGTGCCATTGTTTATCAGCCGGTGAGGGCGATTCCATGTGTACATGTGATACATTTTGTATTATTCTATTGTTTTTAGTACTTGTAACTGCTAAATAAGCCACCATGGGCCAAAAGAAAGCTACTAGTGCCAGCCCTTTGGTAAAGAGGGTGAGAAACACTATAGAATTCAAGAAAAAGTTTGAAGAAAGATATAAAAGTGGTGGTGGTAGAGGGTGGTAGTCATGGTGGTAATGATGGTGGTAGAGGGTACTTCCCCACACACACACACCAGGCAGGGTACTTCCCCATGCACACACCAGCCAGGGTACTTCCCCCACACACACACCAGCCAGGGTACTTCCCCCCACACACACCACCAGCCAGGGTACTTCCCCCCACACATGCACACACCAGCCAGGGTACTTCCCCCCACACATGCACACACCAGCCAGGGTACTTCCCCCCACACACACACACCAGCGAGGGTACTTCCCCCACACCCACACCAGCCAGGGTACTTCCCCCCCACACACACACCAGCCAGGGTACTTCCCCCCACCCACACACCACACACACCAGCCAGGGTACTTCCCCCCCCACACACACACCAGCCAGGGTACTTCCCCACACACACACACACACACCAGCCAGGGTACTTCCCCCCACATACACACCAGCCAGGGTACTTCCTCATACACATACACCAGCCAGGTTACTCCCCCCACACACACACCAGCCAGGGTACTTCCCCCACGTGCACACACACCAGCCAGGGTACTTCCCCCACACCACACACAAGCCAGGGTACTTCCCCCACACACACCAGCCAGGGTACTTCCCCACACACACGCCAGCCAGGGTACTTCTCCCCACACACTCACCAGCCAGGGTACTTCCCCACACACACACACACACACCAGCCAGGGTACTTCCCCACACACACACACACACACCAGCCAGGGTACTTCCCTACACACACACCAGCCAGGGTACTTCCCTACACACACACCAGCCAGGGTACTTCCCTACACACACACCAGCCAGGGTACTTCCCTACACACACACCAGCCAGGGTACTTCCCCACACACACACACCAGCCAGGGTACTTCCCTACACACATCAGCCAGGGTACTTCTCCCCCCCACACACACCAGCTAGGGTACTTCCCCACACACTCACACCAGCCAGGGTACTTCCCCCACACACATACCAGCCAGGGTACTTCCCCACACACACACACCAGCCAGGGTACTTCCCCCCACACACACACCAGCCAGGGTACTTCCCCACACACACACACCAGCCAGGGTACTTCCTACACACACCAGCCAGGGTACTTCCCCCCCCACACACACACATACACCAGCCAGGGTACTTCCACACACACACACACACACACACCACACACACACACCAGCCAGGGTACTTCCCCCTCCACACACACACCAGCCAGGCTACTTCCACACACACACACACACACACACACACACACACACACACACACACACACACACCAGCCAGGGTACTTCCCCCACACACACACCAGCCAGGTTACTCCCCCCCCCCACACACACACACAAGCCAGGGTACTTCCCCACACACACACCAGCCAGGGTACTTCCCCACACACACACACACACACACACACACCAGCCAGGGTACTTCCACACACACACACACACACACACACACACACACACACCAGCCAGGGTACTTCCCCCACACACACACCAGCCAGGGTAGTTCCCCACACACACACACACACACACACACCAGCCAGGGTACTTCCCCCCCCCACACACACACCAGCCAGGTTACTCCCCCCCCACACACACCAGCCAGGGTACTTCCCCCCACACACACCAGCCAGGGTACTTCCCCCCCACACACACCAGCCAGGGTACTTCCCCACACACACACACCAGCCAGGGTACTTACCCCCCCACACACACACAAGCCAGGGTACTTCCCCCCCCACACACACACACCAGCCAGGGTACTTCCCCACACACACACACCAGGCAGGGTACTTCCCCACACACACACATATTATTATATGACTTAGTTACTTTTGTTAGGTAGGATGTAATATATTACAGTGGACCCCCGGTATTCGATGGCATCGGTATTCGATAAATCCAGTATTCGATGCATTATATCGCAAAAAAAATTCCTCGGTATTAGATTGAAAACCCGGTATTCGATACGATTCGTACGAGACATGTCCACGTGTGGCCTGAACTGCCCTGTGTGTGCCAGTGTTTACAAGC